CCCCCCCCCAGGTTATAACTTGTATCACATTGCACAGTGTTTACTCAAGTGTCTATTCCTACCTCATATGACCTCAAGCATTCACTGGGGCAGATGTTAGTCAATCTTCGAATGCACAGTTCCAAATCTCTTGATTAAAACAAAACACTCAAATGTATGCTGAATGAGTAAACTGCTTTTAGGGACTAACTCAAACATTTCCAGAGAGATGAAAATTTTCACTTTTTAGTCTATACTTAAGTCACATAAAACTGGGGATAGTACAACGAAGTCTTAGTCTTTAGTGCTCCCCAAATCCTGTCTTTCAAGAGGATGCAATGCAGCTGAAAGCAACACTAGGAAATATGAAATAGGAACAGTATCAGAGGCCAAAAGAGAAATTAATACTTTAAAAAGAAGTTCGTCCATCATGTCTATTCCAGGAAAAGGTAGCTGGCTGGACGGCCAAGGCTACAGTTTCAAGGGTTTTACCAAAGCCTCCTCAAGGAGAGATAAAACCACAACTACTAAGCTGGCCACTGATCGGGCTGTGGGATTCGAACCTCGACTCCGCTTTTTCACTAGCAAGGTGACTTTGTGCCTGTTATTTAACCTCTCTGAGCCTCACAGTCTTCTACAGTAATTGAGTTGGCAGGGGAATGTAATTAAATAATGTATGTAAAAATACTTACTACAGTCCCTGTTGCACAGAAGACACTCCGCAGATGGCATATAACCTATTCATAATCTAATTGACCTAATCTGAATCTTCTCTAGGCTATAAAAGAACTTCATTTTTAAAAGCTTCAGGAGACAGGCCTTTTCAAAGAGGCCAATGCGATGACATAAGAGAAAAGTTACTATAAAGCCAACACGCCTGGCAACAAGCAGACACACATGATGCCTTCCACGATGACCACCACTAGATGATGGGTGTTTCCCACTCGGGCGGGGGCTAGGCATCGAAGACCAAGCAACCGCAGACGCTACCGGATGGACAAAGCCCCCACTGAACACGTAAGCACAGGCAAGAAAGTTCATCTCAATAACTCGCCTGTCATCATTTAATAAAAGCGGCTTCCTTTAAATAATGATGGAATAAAGCAAAACAGTACTAAGTATCAGTAGAAACAGTGAGATGCACAGAAGAGTGTCTTAGTTTGGGACATATAAACAGAATCAAACCACAAGGAACCTTGTCCTCCTCCATCTCCCTCCCTGCCTCATCCCTCAGCAGTCTCCTTCTATGTCAAAGTCACCCACCCAGTTTCTTCTCGCTGAAAATGCCAGGAGAAATCCTTGAGACCTCCCTCTTTTTTCATTCTCCACATTAAATCCATTAATTAGGCTTCTGCAGGAGGGTCTTCAACCTGGTCACTCCTTGCCGTGCACCCGCTGGAGATACCCGCACTGTCTCTGCCCTGGGCTATGAGTTTACCAAAACCTTCTAACTTGTCTTTTCATATCCACTTCTATCCCTACAATCTATTCTTCACACTATAGATGGTGATCTTTATAAAAGTCTGATCTGGTCACCTCTCTCCTTAGAACCCTTCATGACTTCCCACTGCACTTAGCATTCTAAGGCCAAAATCCAAACCACAGCCTCCAGGACTGGGATTGCACATCTGGCTTTAGCTCGAATCACTCCCGTCCCTGTCAAGTCTCCCCCCACCCCCCCACCCAAAACACACAATGCTCTCCACGCTACAGACGTCTTGGCCTTCCTCCATCCTTCTCACCAGCCAAGTTCCCTGGTCCAGCAGCACAGGGTCTCTGCATATGCTGCTCCCTCTGTGTGCAACACTCTTCCACCCCAGTCTTCCCTGAGTTAACTCCTCCTCATTCTCCAAAGCTCAGGTCAAGTGTCACTTCTTTGTGGAAGCCTTTAGGCCCCAAAGCCTAGACCCAGTTTCTCTGTTATGTTCCCTCACATTACATACCCTTCTCCTTCATTACAACCTTCACAGTTTATAATCGTGATTATTTCATCAGCATGTCTTACCCGATCATAAGCCATGACAGTAAAATCCCAAAGCAGGCACATGATATTTGAATGAGTGAATATATTCTTTGTATGACACATCTTTGCGCTACGCTCCCACTGGAATCAACTCCTACAAGTCTTAATTCCAAAACCACATCATCCATAGAACTTCCCAAATAGCCCATTCTCTTTCTTAAACAAACAAACAAACAAACAAAAATGGGGCACCTGGGTGGCTCAGTTAGTTAAGCTTCTGACTTCAGGTCATCATCTCACGGTTTGTGGGTCTGAGCCCTCCTGCATCAGGCTCTCTGATGTCAGTGCAGAGCCCACTGCAGATCCTCTGTCCCCCCTGCCCCTCCTACCCCCTCACAAATAAACATTAAAAAAATAATAAAAAAACAAAAGAAAACAACACACACACACACACACACACACACACACACACACACACACACACACAATGTAAGTGAACTTCTTAAGAATGTTACATAAAATACACTGATGGGGTAAGATTCAATCCTTATGACAATTTCATCCTGACCAACAACTACAAGCAGTTTACTTGTCAAAAGTTCCATACATGCAAATAAATAAACTTAAAAAAAAGCGGGGGTGGGGGCGCCTGGGTGGCTTAGTTGGTTAAGCATCTGAGACTCTCAGTTTCAGCTCAGGTTATGATCCCAGTTTCATGAGTGCAAGCCCCATGCTGGGCTCTGTGTGGACACTGCAGAGCTTGCTCACTCGCTCTCTCTGCCCCTCCCCAGCTCACGCCGTCTCTGTCTCTCTCAAATTAAAAAAACGTAGAGGAAAAAAGCTCCATATGTTCAATATTGCAGACAACTTATCTTTAATGAGACAGCTCTGTATCCACTGCTGAAATGACGTGAGTATTAGAACAGAAGGCAAAAAGAGGGCATCTCTTCCCATCTCCCTCAAGCCAGGTGGTGAAAGAGAAAGAATATAAACTCTGCAACTGCAAACACCTACGTTCAAATCTCTGCTCTGATGTCTGCTACATGTCTCAGCCTGAGCTAGCTGCCTTCTCCCATTAAACTTTAGTTCCCTCATCTAGAAAATGGAAATAATTTCTACTTGAGGAAACACTGTGAAGATTAAAAAGCAATTAAGTGAAATCATTTATGCAAAAGTCTCTGACGTAGAGTAAGCTCTGGATTAAGTAAGTTCCCCCTTTTTTTTTTCCTGTTTGTACTTCTGTAGCCTTTATTGAATCCCAAACACTGAGTTAAAGAAATGCTACTAACAGCAGGCTTCACCCCAGTGAGGGAGTCTCTTACCAGCAGCTTCCCTCTCCTGTCACACCCAACCACCTTCTGGGCCCCTGCTGAATGCACCCTGCTCAACATCCACACCCCTCAATCCGTGGAGCAGCTGTTAGTTTCCTCACTGTCAAAATACATCCCCTCAACCAGGTACAATATCCTTCCTCTGTCACCTCCCTCCAGGAAGCCTCTAGTCACTCAGCAGATGCCAGGGGAAAACCTATGACATTCCATAGATTCTCTTTTTTTGAATTTCCATGCACACCGTCTTACACTCCTGCTATGTTTCCAGAGACCGTGTATAATTAACCCCAGAAAATAAAGGAGAGGCTGTTCTTCAAAGTCTGACCCGGAAGAGGAAGCAGGCCTCCTACAGGTTGTACTATACCTGGAGCTATGTAGCCAGGAGCAGCTGTAGCCCCAACAAAAGCTCCCCTCGTTAGAGTTCCTCTTCCTCTGCCCCGAACAGCTTGGACCGCTGCAGACACAGCCGTATTCACAACACCCTTTGCCTGTTAAAAATAACACATTTTCATTACCAAGAAAAATAAGAACTAACATCTCATCGTCTCTGTAATGCACAACCTCTATGAGAAACTTGAGCCTGTAGATGAGTCAATGAGTCATCTATGACCTTGAACCTTAATTTATCGTCTATAAAATAAAAATGACACCTACCTTACAGAGCCGTTCTGGAGAATATGTTGGCTCATAAAAATATGCAAATAATTTCTTCTTTTCACTTGAGGATTACCCAGAAAGAGTTCACTTTCTATACACAAATTTCAGCAGTCAAATTATATTTAAAGTCATTTTAGGCCTGACTAAAGGAATATGGGCACTTGATACCTAGGTTCGAAATCCACTGAATTCTCCACCTACAGACGAAAAAATTCTGCAACAACCAACCACCAAGAATCAACTGTGAACCTGAGTGGAGTTTAAAACACACACACACACACACACACACACACACACACACACACACACACACACACAGAACTATGACAGGAAGGCCAAAAATGAGAACTCCAGGAAGGTCACATGATTTCTTTGAGGCTGTTTCTGCCGCTGTATGTGTATGTGTGTATGTACCAATCATTAAATAAATACCACCTCTAAAGTCCCCTCTTGCTCTAAAATGCCATGAGACTCCAGTAAAGTCACATAATCGCTACATCTACCAGAGTCTCCCCACTAACTGTACAGTGAGGATAAGGATACCCACACTTTGTTTTCTTTACTTCAGAGTAGAAAGAGCAACTGAGAAAATAGAAAACTCTGAAGAGTAGGATAAGGACTAACAGAACACAAGTCTGCTAAAACATCCCTTTCTAAAACTGAAATTTTAAGAAAATCAAGAACATCTAGTTTTCAATTAAACATTACACTTATTTTTTTTTTAACATAAAGACACAACAAAAACTCAAACTAGAAACTACAAGAATTCCCTGCTATAACCCAGGTGCAGGGAAGGAGGTGCAGAGAGAGCCTCAAAGCTCACTGTGCAATGAATAAAGTCAACAAGATCTCAAACAGCTTAAACATCAGAGCATACACACATTTCTCGCACACTGAAAAATCATCATCTTTCATTCCTCCTGGGAGCACCTGTACCACTAGAATAACTGGGGAGAAGACAGTTTCAAGGTCGAATGTATCATGCACAGGGACAGCCATTTTTTCTATTTGGCTGACAAAAAATGTAGCCCACACATCCAAAATAGACTGCTTCTTGGCTGTCAAGCACATTGAACACATGAGTTTTATAGCTTCTAGTATGGAAAATTTCTAAAAACGGGTGAACTTCATGAAGACATCTTTTGTGTTTTTTTTTTTGTTTTTTTTTTTTTTAAACAGTTTAATCCAAGTAGTCAGGAAGTAACAATCTGGTGGCAGCAGAGTGACCCCACACAAATAGAGCTCATGTCTACTAGAACTAAACTTAACTACCTAATAACTATCTGCACTAGCTTTTTAAACGCTAAAATGATCCAATACAAGATGTAACTCATGGTAAAAACATACCAAAACAAACAAGGTAACAATTATCTTTCTACTAATTTAGCAAACATCCTGGAAGGTTTTAGGAAAATAAATTCCACTTATTCTCTCTCCATGTGTGTACCAGTGCAATTTAAACACTTTATTTGTATTTTGTATCTCAGTAAAAGTTAGTTTTCCTTGTTTACAGTTTGAATCCTAGAATTTAGACAATGTTTATTATGATGAGTAAAAGACAAGACAAATTTCTACAATGTCTATCATACGCAACAGAATGCCCACCGTAGAACCCAATTTAAAAAGATCTTACCATTAGTTAGCTCCGCTACTAAATGCAGCGTCTTCATTTCTTTGGGCCTTGTTTCCTCATCTACAAACCGGGATCAATTCTACCCTCCTCGAGAAGACTCGGCATATGTAAAAGAAACTAAACCAACTAAAACAGAATCTTAAATAATCTAAGCTACCTCCTATTAGTCTAAACATTTTCAAGTGACTTGTTTCTACCACATTACTGAACCAGCACTTTCCACCAGGGAGAACTTTCTACCAGGGAGAGAACATGTCTCATATTCACTAGTGTATCTCTTTTGCCCTCACAATCATGTACATAGCATATGTCTAGAAAATATTTTTGATGCATAAATAACAGAAGAACCTGTTATCCAAAAGCATGTAATTAGGAGGCCATCTTTTCTAAAGACGTTGCTATAATCCTGGGTCTTCAGCAGCACTGACATTCCCATTGTCAGGAATGAACAGAAGCAATACAGGGTCAAGTTTTACTGTGTCGCCCCCAAAGGAAAACACAAAATAAATAATGCAAAAGGACAAAACTGGAAAGGAAATGGAAGTGTGTCTGCAGACTCTGATGAAAGTAAGCCCCTGTACTCTCGGCGGCTCCCCTAAACAAATACAACATCTCTTTAAAGTCCAGATCCTTCAATGCTCTACTTCATCCAGAGTGACCGAAAGCCCCCAAGTAATACTGATAGCCTCTTTTTAATATGTAATTTGCCTACAAAGACCACAGAACACGGATTATTATAGTATTCACGATCTAACTCAAGGAAAAGGTTGTCAAATGCAAGAAAAAGAAACAACTTCAGAGAAAGTGGCACAAAGACAAAGGAAACTTAATTCTGGTAATATTTTTCAAAAGTATTGCAAAGGTTTAATGCTTAACTCATACCTGAGGGATAATCTTCTTTTTCTTATTATTTGCTGCATTGGGTCCAGAAAACAGCTTTTCCAGGGCAGCTAAAGCTGCACTTGCCTTTGCCACTTTCTTATTTGGACCTGCACCTCTGAATTTCTGTCCATCTACTTCTACCTAAAATCAAGAACAACACTCTGCAATTATCCCATATAATTCCTCTATATAGTTTTCATTTAAATGTATCACAACACGGGAAAAACCAAAAGTCACATAGTGCCAAAAGAATTAACTCAGTCTAAAACTTTTTTACATATGAGCTCAGGATATGCTATGTCTTTGAGGAGAAAAGGTTGGCTTGAATCTAGGTACACACCTCCATTACAAAGCGTTTGTCATGGCTTCCACCAGTCTCCGAGATGAGTTCATACTTAAGACCTCTTCTTTTTTCATTGAGCTCCATTACAGGATTTTTGCCACTTGCTGTGAGGATAGGGCCCTGAGTTCTTACCTAAAAGGAGGTTCAATCAAGTAAGATTTTAGAGTATTAAATTTCTCATTAATACAATTATACTAGGTTTCTGCTGAAAAGACGCTCAAAAATTATACTGTAAAGCATTTAGGAGCTAGAATGTGTGATCACTTCAATATACAAATGACAAAATATCTTTAAAGGTATGGAAACTCTACAGCAGTAAGCACGGCAATCAGTCATCAAGCCAATCTGCCTCTAGAGTAGGGCTGTCTCAACTGATCAGTATTCAAGAGCAACATGGCCTTGCCATTACGTGGCACTCTAGGGTCTGCTCTGTGGTGTTCATGATCTAAGAATAATACTTTAAATGACTAACAAAGTGGACAGAACAGTTGAGATTCACATGACATCTGAGTGTTCACTGTTTTTCATCTTTAGGGTTAGGAAGAAATAATTTTCAATTTGGGAGATGGGAACAAAATGTTCCTACACATCTCTCAGTTCTCTCCAAAGAGATTTAAGGGCACCTAAGGTAAAAACAGTAGGCTACAATCTATGGATTCTGAAATTTAAAAAAAGAATAAAAGCAGTCATTCTCTGCCCAAAGGAGCTAGAGTATAGTGGGACAGACATAATCACTTTAAAACAGTGTATATTATAGAACAGATGTGTGCTATGGAAACACAGCAGAAGGAATCACCTTCTATGGCAATCAGGATAGTTTTCCTGGAAGTGACATGAGAATTTGACCTTAAAGAGGTAAGTACCGGACCATGATAAGGTAGAAACAAAGGAGAAGGGCATTCTAGACAGAAGAAACAGCCACGGAAAGGCCCAAGAGAAGCAAAGAACATCTGTTTGGGAAACAGCAAGAAGCGCAGTGTGGCTGTATAAGGGAGTGAGGACAGGAAGGCAGGACCCGATCAGAAACGCCCTCAAAGGAGCCAATTCATACAGGACTTTGCATGCCATGCAAATGAGCTTTGACTTTATCATGAACTATCGGGAGTCACGGAGAGATTTAATCTAGAAAAGTCAGGACTAGATTTGTGTTGTAGAAAAAAATCACGCCAGGAGTGGCAGAAAGAATCCATTCGAGGAAGGATTAAGACTGCAATAAGGAGAAGAAGTACTTCATGTAAGAGTGTGAAGGCTCAAATGAAGAGGCAGGACAGCACCAAAAATAAAACAAATGACAAAATACTGCAACTATAATCTTGAGAAAGGAAAGACCCAAAGATTGAGCACTTTTTGAGGTTAGAGATCATGCCTCTAATTCTACCATAGTAATTGCTCAAGAAATGCTGAAGAGATGAATGCCCAAAACAATTATTAGGTTACAAATTCAAAGAACAGCAAGATTCTCTTAACACACTACTCTGTGCTGATTTTGGTAAGTGGTTAATGCTGTAGAAAAAGTCAAACACTGGACAACTTTTCAAGCCTAGTTTAATAAACATGCCTGGGTCGAATGCAATAAAAAAAAAAAAATCACTTTTTGAAGAGTTTTTTGTAATCTATCTTTTTAAAATTTCAAAGCAAATGTCCAGTCTCCATCTTTAAAAGGTAATGAGTAATTTTTGAAACTAGGTCTATGGGAATTACTCTCTGCTTTCCAAATCTGAAATCACTTTTATAAAAAATGAGTCAAGACATACAAATATTTGCATTGTAATATTTTAATTTTAAATGAAGAACTTAAATGAAGAATAAGGGCTTTCTTTCCCCCCACGCCCATGCCATGACTACATTATATAGAAACAAAGCATGAATGTGTTCACTACCAAAACTGCCACACATGGATGTGGCTATCAGTGCAGCCCACACTGTTCGCCCTCTCCTTCATTCCCCTCAACTTAATAGTCTGAGTCTCATAATTAATGAGTACTTTCTTTCCTAAGTCTTTATAACACTGCCACTAAAACATCTTGCCCTGCCTGTGACCATCACCTGTGAATGAATGGGCCTCTCAAAAGCCAGGCGCCACAGTCTCTCCACAATATCCCATGACAAGTCGGGCCTCAGCCTCTCTCTGCTCCCCCACCCCCCACCAGCCCACCTGATGCCTCTCAAACACCTACTTTCACAACCCCAGGCCATTATAACCTCCTGTTCCTTTGGCCCCAATGCCTTCTTTCTACCTCTTCTCCACATAGCAACATCTTCCTCATCACCTAAAACCTCGCTCACATTTTACTCCCTTTGATTTTATAGTTGTGTAAGTTTCCTAATCACTTCCTCTTTTGAGATTTCACATTATTATATTCATTTTGCCATTACGGTACTTATCATATTACATTATAATTAGTTATGAACATGCCTTTGATGCTTCTAGCCTGAGAACATCTTGAGGCTCTGGACATAATTTCTGCAGCATCTGGCAGTAAACAGGTACTACAAGGGGTTTACAGAGTAAAAAACTACATAGTGCACTAAGTCTCAGATAAATACTCATGCCCACAAATGAAAACATTTTTTTTACTTAATGTAACCTCTTGCTGTTACTTTGAAGCCAATTTTGCTCATGCAGAATGCAATAAACAAGGGCCCCATGAATTCCCAAAAATGCTGGGTATACCCAGTACTTGGATTTTTGTCCCATTCTATTATCTGTGGCAATACGCTCATAGGTCAGGACATACTCAGAGTCTGAGGAACATACTAGATCAGGCTATGCCTCCCTCAGGGCTAGACTGACTTGATGATGACCCACGGCCTCCCACAGCTCAGCACAAACTTCAAATAATCCTACATTTCCTCTGCCAGATCTTCTGGTTTTTCACTCTTCAGTTATTATTGATAGTGCTGATACATTATAACTGTGAAATACTGGAAGGAACTTCCGTGGCCAGCAAAAAGAAAATGCTAGTTACATGAGGGTACATTTATGTATTGTGCATTATGCAGTTATCGTTACAGATATTTTGAGAGTGAAAAAAAAACCAAGACGTAAAACTGCATGGAAATACAATTGCCATCACAAAAATACTCCCAGAAAAAGGCTGGATGGAAATAAACAAAATATTAATAATAACAATGGCTGCCTCTGGACTATATACATTTGTATATGCTTTTTTCTTATTCACACTTTTCCACATCTCTCAAATTTTCTATAATCTACATACACTACTTTTTTTCTTAGGAAAAAAATATATAAATATACCTCTAAGGTACTGGAGGTTTCAGTTGTAGAATTTCCAGTATTATTGCTTGAGTTTGAAGACACTGTTTCATTTTTGCCTTCATTGTCTGACTTTTCATCGGAACTCATACATTCAATATCTGCATCAAAGCCCGTTGGGTATCCCATTGCTTGTAATACCTGTACAAATTACATTAAGATTCAGTTTTATTCAAACATCAGAGACCACTGAGAACAGATAAAATACTGAGAACAAATTTCAAATCCACAACATTTGAATCTATGGAACACCTTTCAGGAAGAGCAAGATGGTCTAAATCTACAAATCCTTGGTTAAACAAAATTTACCTGCTAGAATTTCACCACAGAGAATGGGAAAAACATCCTCAGAGTAATTAGGTTTAAATAAAGGATGACAGAAATGCAAACCTGAGGCTGCTTCTGGTTCATTTAGTTTGGAGGCAAGAGGTAGAGAAACAGTATGGCCAAATTCAACCAAGAAGGTGAGGGGAAAAGTAAAACAGCATAATGTAAGAAGTACAATGGATAGAAAAGACCTGGCAGTCTAATCCTGTATTTCTCCTCTGGTCCTCAATTTTCCAATCTGCAAAACAGGAAGACTGATTAGCTGACCTCTAAATTCTATGACTCAATCCATTAGGAGGAATTAGCACAGAAAGGGAATCAAGAAGTCTTCAGGTTGGAACCAATTTACCTGTTCATTTTTTCTGAACCTTTCTACTATTGTCCTCTTTGCTTTCAACTTAAACCATAATCAACACTTGAAAGGATTCAGATTCAAAGACTTATTCTCTATACTAAGTGAACCAGGAACAGTTTTAGGTTTGTATTTCCACCCGTCTCTCAAGGCCTAGTTACTTTATGACTTCTCCCAATATCCATTCTTCTATTACCATTCAATGCCCGGCATTTCGTATCTTTTTTAAAGATAAAGTTTTCTGAACAGTGTGTGTGTGTGTGAGCACGCATGTGTGTGTGAGCATACACACATTCAAGCATGGCTTTTAACATCTTCTTCCAGGTGATACTGCTTTTTAGATGTTTACAAGACAATATGTTCACTAGCATCTTTATAACCCTCTTTCAAGCAGTTGTGTTGCACTGTCAATTACTAATTTAAAGGTTTATATCAAAATATATGGAGATAGGTTCCTAAGGATTTCTGTATCTATTTCAGCTTTTGACTATTGTTTTAAGTTGCCGGAGCAACTTAATGTTGTATTTCTTTATGATCCCTATCCATACCTATACCTAAGAGGTGTGTCAAAAAATGGTTATTATAGCCTGACAAGTGAGAGGCCAGGCAGCCCAAACTTTATAAACAATAGCATCTTCTATAACAGATTCTGCCAACATAAAATAGTACAACTATAAAAAATGGACATAAGTAGAACTCTGTACCATGAAAACTTGAAACTGATTCACCCAATTCGTATGAAGAACTTGGCATTGTGTTGAACATTTCAAATCATAAATACTTTGTAATCACAGGGAGAAAGCCAAGAACCCCTTTTCAATATCTTATGTTCTAGAAGTTCTCAGGTAGTACTACACATCAAGAATGTTAACATCTTATTCTTGTCACTATTTTATAAAGAAAACGTCTTCTCTATTATCTAAGTCCTGTAATACCCTCTCCTGAAATATCTCATCCTAAGAGAATAGTTATCTGTCTGGAATGAACACTAGCTAATACAAGCTACAAGTCGAAAGTCAAGACTCACAAATAAACCTGATTGGTCTATTCCAATAAAAACTAAAGACATGCAGCTTTTCTTAACGTAGATAATTAAAATAGTCTAATGTGAATTATTTAACACCATTTCTCTCTGTGCTTTTCTCACATACCATATTCATTTATTTACTTGTTATTGTAGCAACATATTTCACTATACTATAAATAGTTTATACAACTGATGGATAAGCTCAAGGGATACAGTGTACTTGTAATATAGCCCAACTAACAAAAAAATGTCAAATTAGATCATTTTTCTATGAACACATGAGGGTATTAACTAGTATATGCTACAAGAGTTTTAAAAGGAAAAAAGTAATGAGCTCTCAGACATCTAAAACAAAAATTTGCTTAGAATCAACATTAAAGTCAGAAAAACTAGTATACCAAAAAAAAGTTAAGTTTCAAGTGTCTAGCAAACAAATCAAACCTAATAAACACATCAACTGGGCTGAAAAATCACAAGACAATTCCTGGACATAGGTGACTGGGAAATCCAGTGTAACCATGCCTTTTTTCCCCTGGAAGGGGAGCTGAGGCCGAGACAGATGATCCCCTCAAAGACTATACAAAAGTAAAATGGAAACATACTCTACCCTATGGCTCTCCACTCAAAAGAAAGTCTTATCCGTGACTTCAGATAGTGAAGAAATGATGGCTCCAAGAACCTCTCCAAAGAGCCTTCGCTCCTCTAGCAGACCTTTTCCCCACAATGACTAAGATTCTTTTCATGGAATATGGCTGATTATGTCTCTCAAGGTGTTCTTTGTGAGGAACTAGCAGAAAAAGGGCCAGAAGAGTAAAGAAAATACTGGCAACTGATTTCCATCACTTCAGGGTGCCTGCGGCTGAGCAGCCAGGCTCCTGTGGCAAGATGGTTTTTTTTTTTCTTATTTTGTTTTGATTTCATTCTCTGATATGATTTGTCTTAACAGGTACAGATCCCTACACCAAGCTACTGAGTAAGGAATGTAAGAATTTTTATCTACTGGGACCTACTTTCATAAACACGTGTTAGATATAAAACATAAAACACTCTGAAACTCTTGCTTTTTAAATTTTTTTCTTACTGTTTATGTTTGAGAGAGAGCACAAGTGGGGGAGGGGCAGAGAGAGAGGGAGACACAAAGTCCAAAGCAGGCTCCAGGCTCTGAGCTGTCAGCACAGAGCCTGACACAGGGCTCAAACCCACAGATTGCGAGATCATGACCTGAGCTGAAGTCGGACACTTAACCGCCTGAGACACCCAGGCGCCCCAAACACTCTCAAACTCTTATAAACAGAATCTGAGGGGTGCCTGGCTGGCTCAGATGGTTAAGCATCTGACTTCAGCTCAGGTCGTGATCTTGTGGTGTGGATTCAAGCCCCACATTGGGCTCTGTGCTGACAGCGTGGAGCCCACTTTGGATGCTCTGCCCCCCTCCCCACTGCTCAGGCACATGCACTCTCAAAACTAAACATTTAAAAAAAATTTTTTTAAATAATAAACAAAACCTGAAACTTACCATATATAGATGGCAATTTGGCAATATATACCTGACATATAATAGGAAGCCCAATACATATTTACTGAATGGATCATTCAAATGTGCCCTCTTCTTGATGCAGAAATTCCATTTCTAGAACACATGTTTACTTGTTTCTTTTTTTTTTTTTTTTTTTTTTTTTTTTTTAATGCAAGCTTTACACCCAACATAGGGCTTAAACTCACAACCCTAAGATCAAGAGTCGCGTGCTCTACAAAAAGAGCCAGGTGGGCACCCTAGAATATATATCTTAAGGGATAATTAGACTAATTCAAAAAGATATAAAGCAATCAACTAGAAGCATCTAAATCTAAAAGGATTATACATTACAGTACACTGATAATAAAAAAATATTAGGCCATCACTAAAAAGGAGAGTAATCTTTGTGATAACTATAAAAAACTCATATTTTTTGGATGAACAAAAAAGTACTTATTTTAAATATATATTTTATATACACATTATGTAGGTCCTACCATTCCTTATCTAAAACCCTTGGGACCAGATTATTTTGAGAATTCATAGTTTTTCGGAGTTTAGAAAGCTAATACAAAATATTTACTATATATTTTCCAAATCCCCAGTAAGTTCAGATGCTACCCCACGTTTGTGCAAAGAAACATAAAATATTCACATTAAATGAAATAGTAAAGACTAAAGTACTCCTGCATCAATTCAGGTCAGGTTTTCCCATCAAATGAGTTTGTATCAAATGTAGAGAAATATTTTTCATTTTCAGTGCTTCCTGGATTTTAGAATTGCAGTTTAAAAAAAAAGGCTTGGAAAAATACATACCAAAATGTTAAAAGTAATTATGAGAACAAACAGCTCTAAATCCTGTCATATTACAAAATCAGCCACTGCTCTTACTCCCCCATATTTTACTGAATTGCAACTTGCTATGAGGCCACTAGCTTACATTAAAGGCGATTATAACAAACAACCCACAAACTGTCACTGCATCATAGATAACTTTAAAGGATATCACTGCTATCCTTTTAATGAAAACCTACTCAAGGAGAATGCCCACTTGATCTCTATACTAAATCAACTGTAACCCTCATACTCAACTGTCTGTTCTTATGTCACAGACAGTGACATTTCACAAGCTTTTGAGTCAGATGTTAGAGATCTTAGATCTAAATTTGTGACTCATTCTCAGCATACATTATAGCTAAGTTATTAAACTGTATTTTTAGCTTTCTTCCTGGATTTTTTTCCCTCATTTCTCATTAATTCTTTTTCTGCCTCATTTTAAACTCTTACTGTTTTATCATACTTAAAGTACCCTTTTGTAAACAAGACATAACATAAATAATCTATTGTTTTATATTTTTACAGCTTATTATTTTTCTGCATTGTGCTTATTACTACCTGACATATAATTTATTCATTGGTATATTTGTTGTCTGTCTCCAATTCTTTCCACACTAGAATGCAGGCTCCAGGAGGCCAAGGGCTTTGTTTTATTCACTGATACATCCTTGGTATCTGGAATAATGTTCACATCTACATTAATAATACTTGCAAAGCGGAATGATCATGAAAACAGACCAATTCTATCGTATGCCATACTGTTACATAACAGAACTTTTCTTAAGTGAAAACCAATCTTTGGTCTACATGATCTTTGACATTTTCACATTAATCTACGAGACAGCAAACGCACTCATGGAAAAATTCCAGTATTTAGAAACTTTCTACAAACCTACATGCGTGATTGCTTGGTTCAATCCTGAACCTATTCCCTATGGAAATACTCTGGAATACAGAAAAGGCACCATATGCACAAATATAATAATTAAATTTATTTATGACAGGAAAAATCTGCAAACAAGAAAATATTCAATACTAGGAAGATGTTTAAACAAATAATAGTGCATCCAAATGTTATATCATAAAGCCATTAAAAATTATTTGTGAGGATTTTAATAACATGAGAAAACACTGACAATACAGTAAATGAAAAAAAAAATCAGTGGATAAAATTACATACACACTGTAAGCTCAAGTTAAAACAAAAAAAACAAGGGTGCCTGGGTGGCTTGGTCGGTCAAGCATCCCGACTTCAGCTCAGGTCATGATTTCACGGTTCGTGGGTTCGAG